ATACAACCCAATTGCTGGGTTTGTCCCTATTTTACCCAGCACAGGGTTGTATTTAACCAAGCATTTTTTAGAGTGTGAGGTTTGAATTTATTCGAAGGAATGTTATAAGGAAAGCTAGCGCCACTGCATAAAAGACTGAACTATTTGGAAATAGCTTCATGTGCATGTTTTAAAAAAAACGGGAGGGTAGTTTTAACAAGGCAGTAGTAAACATGTCTTAATGAATAAAAAGCAGGATCTTCATTTGTTTAATATGAAACCTTGCACTAAGTTTGTGAATGCAACACTTTTGTGTAACAGGTCTGAAAAATAAAAACTGTGGACAAAAACAGTGAAATGTTTGCTTTTTAAAAAATGAAAGCAAGGAAAAAGCATCTAAGAGGTGGGTTATAATATTCCTCTACTTACAATAAGGTCATGTGATTGTCGAAGTATGCATGAGGGCTGAAAATAAAATGGAATGATAAAGAAAGTCCCACGTAACTCTTAAGCTGGCTCAATATCAGATCACGACTGCTTCCAGGTCGCCATGAAAGAATGGATCAATTTTGGCAGTTGTGTTCTCAAAACGAGCAATTGAAACAAAGATACGGGATCTCCTTTAGGTGCGCATTTACTGCTGGAACTACTGCGACGATACTGCAGCACCCAGCTCTTCGCCTTGACTTGCAGAACCAATGCATTCCCACCACGGTTTCATCAGGGAAGGGTCGTAAGCGTTATCGCTAATCTGTCAATGGAAGAAGATAAGAGGAGCCAGGAACTCCGACTGCCCTAGGGCTGGAAGAAAAGCGCGACAAGAGAAGGAGAGATGGGATAAAAGAGGAAGGAGGAGGAGTGCTAAGAGGGAGAGCATAGTCCAGTCGTGTCCAGCCCATGGACGGCGGACAGTAAGGCCTTGGTCTTCACAGTAGCACACAGCGGAAGAAACTGCTCTTTTTCTGCTGTTCAGTGGTAATTTTCACTCCATGGTTGCTGCTCTGAGGATTGTTGCCCTCCTGTGCGAGCAAAGAAAAACATACCTCATCAGACTCAAGACTCAGACTCATTTTATTACTACAGCTCAAGCTAGCCAGAAATTGTGCTAATACTGAGCAAGAGATATCGGATTTGTTCATCCAAAAGGAAAACTGTGGTTACACTTTACTTGAAGCCTTTATATATATAATGAATCATAAAAGTATTTTTTAATGCATTTATTATAATGCATTGTAAGATCTCATTAATAATACAACAGATATAATATATTATAATACTTATCTATTCATTGTTGCACCTTAAGAAAACAAAGCATTTAAAAAAAACAACCAATTTCAGATGTAAAAACGTATCTTCAAATGTTATAAAGCATTTTAACTTTCATTACAATTTATGAAAATACACTGGAATCTGCAAATATTATAATGCATTTTAACTTTGATTACAATCATTTATCAAAATTTATAATGCATTACAACATACATTATGAATACTGTTATACTGCATTAAAGGCTATAAAAATGCAGTATGCTTTAGGCTATAAAGGCTTTAAGCAAAGTATTACCAAAAATTGTCATTATTTACTATTTAATTTATTTAATAAGACATCCAAAAGTTGACTTCATGCAAAATCAACTTATTTCCAAGATGATAACTGCATAGCAATCGATTAAACGTGTAACACAGATCATGTGACCTGTATATTACTGTTGGAAATGTTTGTTTCATACTGTTTCACATTCTAGTTGTCTCACTTGTTAACACTGATGCTTTAACTAATGAACTAACAATGAACAAACAGCATTTATTAACCTTTGTTAATGTCAGTTAATAAAAATGTTTGTTATTCACAGTGCATAAACTAATATTAACAGATACAACTTTTGTATTAGATTAACATCAACTAAGATTAATAAATGCTGTAGAAGTATTGTTCATTGTTCATGTTAACTACTGTAGTCAACTAATGAAACCTTATTGTACAGTGTCACCCAATTATCAAACTAAATTCATTTTTACACAAACCTAAAGCACAGAAAGGGAAAGTCTTACCAATTTTGTGTCCATCTTTGCTTTTATGTCTCTGGCGAGCGTTAAGAATGCCTGTGGGTAGAGCAGAAAGCGTCATTATGTCTCGATTATACCTTTAAACATTCAGTCAGCCGCAGATATGATAAGGAAATGAAATGAGGATTCATCATAAAAGCCATTTACACTTACGTTTTCAACGTTGATATTAGCCTTCGCACTCGTCTCCATGAACTTGATGCTGTACTCTAATGCCAGCTAAACGAGTACAGGCAGATTTTAGTATGGAAAATACATGTATGATTTCTCTGGACTGTTTATCAGTTCTAGCCATTCGTGGTGATTAACTAAACACATTCTTGTGGAAGGTGGCATCATTGCTGTAGAGTCTTATACAATGAAAGTTAAATTATATTATACTAGCATATTATGCTCTTTTTGCTTGTTTTGAGAAAAAAAAAGTGGTATAGGAGTAGCTCAAGGAACAAGGTCGCTCACCTTCTCGCCTCTGTCTTTTGACACCTGCCTCTTCTCATTAATGTCACATTTGTTCCCCAAAATCATTTTTTCTACATCCGCTGATGCATGCTGGGTTGAAAACACAAGAACATGAGCAGCAATAATTTGCTGTTGAATATGCAAACATTATTGGTACACTGGTAATGCTACATTTTCAAAACTGACTAGTCTGAATGACTAGTAATTAGGTTACTTGTAGTTTAGACAACACTAATAAGAGTTCACATAACATTA